GCCATCCTGCAGTGTGGTGAAAGCTAAGTTCGAGCTTTTACTTTTGAGCTTGCTTTCTTCAGTCCGTGCAGAGAGGAACGTGAATGGGTTTCTCAACAGAAACGACATTTGTTTGAACAGTGAACAGGTGCAGGGGTCAAGCACGAGATGCATCTGATGATGTTTAGGAGAAATTATTCGAGCACAGCATCGGAGAGTACCGAGCCTCCTCGGTGTCACGTTAGGAAAAACCTGCTGATGGTAAGGAGCAATGTTGGGAAAGCTCAAAGGTGTCGGAATGGATGGCTGACGCCAGAGTTGACGTGTTTGCAGGCTCGTCTTATTCATTGGTAGAATGGGTATCTGCAGCTGGCAGATTCGACATGGTAACGAGGAGGACAGTGGTGGACTTTCATCCAGGAACGACCGAAGAATGGCGCGATTGATCTCTTTCCTACATGTTTTGAAACGCGCTGGCCGTCGAAGGCCGCGCTGGCGTATGACCCTTTATTCATCACGGTGCCTGCGCAGAAGAGAGAATAGGATAACAGTACATGTGAAGAGCTTTTCTGCATTTGAGTGGGTGATTAATAGTTACTAAAACTGTGGGTCCGCAATGAGCAGTCCGATTACTGTAAAAGCACGGCCCTATGTGGAGTGACGCACTGAAAGCAGTGAATCAAGACCAAAAGCGCAAAGTACGTTTAGGTCGTGAATTTGCGATGCGACGGCTCCTTTTGCTTATTGCAGAAAGAAATCCTATCAGATATCATCACAATGACGCGCGAAGTAGAAGTCGAAAACCTCGTTTCGCCATCGCTTTGAACTAGATACAGTAAGTAGCTAGAACGTCAGTGCAGTTCGTACTTCAGAGCCTTGTTTAACTGACAAGATGAAGAACATGGAAAAAAGAAGGCAAGACGTACAAAGTCTTGAGATATGTTTATTCCTTGATACTCCAGAAAACTACCAACCACAAAACCGACATGTTTGAGCACAGAATGCCTTCATGTAGAAGTCTGACTCATCTTTACAGCGGCCTTCTGCTTTCCACTCTTGACATTGCTTTGTATCTCCCTGGTCAATGCACGCCTGAAAAAGCTAATGTATTATAAAGATGGATATTCGCTTGAAGTGCTCGGGTTTCATGATCAATGTTCCTTCACACAGAACTGGTCCTGCTCATGAATTATCTAGAAAACGTTCGAGCTTTGATAATAAGCTCTTTCAAGTTCGTCACAGAACCCCTTCCAGAAACACCCAGTAATCCCCGATACTGACTTGTACCTCAGTTGTGAAGGCGTTGAGAAGGAGGAGAGCACAAAGCACGTAGAAGAACATGTCGAACTTCTGTGAAGGGCGAGAAAATTCAGCTGTGGGGCCTATTTATGATCCCTGAGTAATGTGACTGTGACCGTCGCTGCAGGTGTGTTATCATATTTCAAGCGCTCAGCAAATTTCCCATGATATCTTTCCTGTTTACCTTATCTGAGAACATCCACAAATCTGCAGCAAATTCTGATTGCATGACGAAAGTGAATTTTCTGCTATTCCGGATCAGTGTTTGGAAAGATAACCGTTCGTAACGACGAAGACGAAGAGCGCAACTTATGATGGGTTCATAATTAGAGAAGAAAATGAATTCTGCTGTAATTATATACATGTAGGGGTTTTGTTGAAAGTAGAGCCAACAACGACAGGAATAAAACAGCTCTTTTCAAACGTAATAAGTGCACTCGACGGAATAGCAGTCTCTTGGTTTCATGAAAACACACCTCTCCTTGCAATTCATTTTGCCGCACTGCGCGGGACAGAAGGGCATAGCGTCTTTATCCCTTCAGATCGTAGCTCTCAGTCGTGACGCAACGACAAGTACACCAGAATGGAGAGCCAAGTTCGGAACATTCTAAAGCACTTCGATTCGGCTCTTCCTCTGTGAACAATATAAATAAAATAAAGCCAACAAAATTCAGATCTGCGCTGGAATAAGCATGAGTAGCACTCAACATCAATGATCCTGTCGGGTGTTACCGGCGATCATATACATGTCATGTCTTCCCTAAATTCGGGAGTGGACCAAAGTGCTCAGTTGTATTCTGAACCGAAGTTTTTTCAGTACTCTAATATATATTTTGACAGTCCTCAGATAAGAATTGGAGAGCCATCTATATGAGGATACTTGTACAGCACCCTGTTATTCCAAATATGGAACGATCACAGCCTACCACCAGACATGCTCGCCAGTTACATTATAGTAGGGTATAAAATAGGTCTTCACCCGTTGATCCTATGATCAACAAAAACAGGAAGTTCGACATGGTGCCTCTACGTGCTGCGCTTCTCCTGCTCAATTTGCCTTCACAACAGCAGGTACGCAGTTAATTTCGTACTTCTCTCTACATACCTTAATAAGGATTGGCTGTGCGGAAACTCGAGAAGCACATAGGAAATTCATAGCGCATAAACAACCATGAACACTGGGTTGTCCGATGTGAACAATCGCCTCGAAAAAATCCCAATTCTTCGCAGCGTGTTTTTCAGGCCTGCATTGATCAGGGAGATACGAAGCAATGTCAAGAGTGGAAAGCAGAAGGCCTTGTAAGGATGTTCAGCCACTTCTACCATGAAGGCGTTCTGCCTCAACACGCTGCATCGTTAGCCTCCCACCCCTCCATCCAATCCACCTCCTTTTCTCTCTCTGATGCCAATGGTTCTGTCGGTTTGATGCGCTGGTGTTCGAAGAGCATAAAGAATTCAAATAAATTTTCAAAGATTACGATTTCTATGTTGTTTTGGTTCTGCATCTGATTCACACAACATTGGTTCGCCCTGCGTTCAAGCAAAGCAACCTCTTTCAGGTTTATGACAGAATTTGATTGACGCTTTCAACGTGCAGCTTGAAAACAAGCTGTACACGGTAAGAGAGTATGCACCGCGTGAGCTGCATCCCTTGCTTCTGCCTTGAAACTATCTGATTAATGAATTTTACTTTCAAGACATAGAAAGACACATGACACTACAGTAACATAGTATATGAGAAAACATTCTACATGACAAACGATGACTATATAAGATAAATAGACAACAACATAAGGACATTGACAGGGACATTAGGTAGAAGGACATCATAGTTCTTGCAGAGGCAGAGCATGGCTCTAGAGATGGAGAGCTCGAGCATCCTTGACCTCAACGGGAATCTACTGTCCTCCTCGTTGGAGCTCCTTTGCATCGCTGTCGCGCCCTGAAAGTGCTGTCATGACTCATCCCGGAAAAATGTCAACTCCCGAGATAACTTGACGTATACCGCCCTCCTTTACTAAAATCCGGCCCAGATCTCAAAAGCAGAGGACGGTATAATAAGAAAACGTAGCTTACCATGCTCTTTAATGGGGAAGATTGAGATACCGATGAATAGGCTTAGAATGGAGCACGGCGTTCGAGAGTCATGCCCATTCGTGTACAAGACGCTACTGCGAGCAACGCAATGGCGTCGCGTACACGTTCAAAAAAGTGGACTGATTCGGAAAAGCGGATCGCTGAGGAAACATTATGACTGAGCGAGCCGTGACGCTAACGCCGTTGGAGAGCTCGCCCAGAAGTTACCGATCATGGTCGAGAACGGTAACGGCGAAGTTGTCGCGCCCTGAGGCCCTGCCGCCTGTTGACGCCGTGCTGGCGTAAGACTGGCAGAAAGAACGTGATGTAAAAGAAAAGCCACTGTTGATCCGACCGACCCTTCCACTGCTGTTATTTGCGCAGCCAGCTGGTTGGAGGGGGTCAGTAGAAAATGGGACGGTTGACCTCGTTAATGACTTGTCGCACCTACGATTCGAGGCATAATTAACGAGGTGCGAAGGGACGTCATTATGAGGTGCGAAGCGACCTCATTAAGCCGAGGCACGCACGAGCTATCAAGATCGTAACAAAATTGAGTGAAAACTCTTAACAGAACAGATTCAAAAAAACGTGAAGATCTTCCAAAGGGAAGAAGGTTTACAAAAAAGTAATACAATAAGGTAGCTCTACCTGTCAAACTGAATGGAGTGGTATAATGCCTAACTTTCAACTAAGCATCGATAAAAAATATAAGCTCAATCATTTCAAATTTCATGACGAAAAGCTTCAAGAACTCACGTGGAAACCCATACTGTTTACGAAGTGCATCCTTGGATATCGCTGAACTTCATTGCCTGCCTTCGGCGGGTTAGTTCAAGTAATGACCCTCTGGCCTCTTCTATATTATCCCGATAATGACTTCTTTATCACTTGGAAAGCCCTCTGGTCAAACAACACCTCAACGAGAGGTCATGAGTAGATACTTAAGCTAACAGGTAGAAAGCAAACACGTGAGTTGTTGTTGAGCAAGTTCCTTGTGTTGTCATGTATTCAAGTACTAATCCTTCATTATTATATTCTGCCGATTCCTGCTCTTATGTGGATGCAGCCGTTCCGTTTTCAGGGTTTCCTCAGACGTCGTCTCCCACACCTTTGTATGTAGCACCGCCACACAATTTTATCCGGTACCAGCACCTTCGTATGACGTAGGGCTTGTATCACCATGCACATTTCCTCCCGCACTAGCACCTTCTCACTTCGCCAGCACTGGGAACATCCTACTTCGTCGGTCAGGAAGCAACATCTTATTCCGCCGCTACACCAGCACCCTCGTATTACGTGGATCAGATTCTACCGCACATATCCCCCCACACCACAACTTTCAGGTTACGTAGTCCCCGCCCGTGATCCTGTCCCGGCTTCTCCGGCAGAAGGAAGTTTTCAGAGAGAAGAACCGTCACACCAACGGTTCAAAGGAGAGCGACAGGTAAGCAAACAAGGGAAGCACAGTGTCCTAATCTATAGGATTCCAGGCACGCAATTTGCGTACACTTTTGCGAGGAAGTGTGCGAATAAAAACGTGGAGGTCTACCGTTGCGTACAGTGCAGGAAGGAAAGCAGAAGACATGGTGAAGATGTCCTAAGAGATACAATAAAAGTGAGAGCAAATCAGCTGGATTTCGTGAATGTATCCGACAATTACTTGTCAGGTAATCGGTGACGAGTTTCTGACGGATCCGTGCAGGCTGGACCATGAATGCCGACCAGAAAAGTATGTCAGAGAGAGAGGAGACAGAGCCGTCTACGAGGTGAAGTGTAGCCATCTTCAAGGCAGTTCAAGAAGAGACTGAAGATGCTTTTCAGGAGCTGAAACATGTTAGGGAGGACTCCAAATACGCTGCAATAAAGCCAGTGCAGGTATTTTTCGATCTCGTGGCCCAGCGTCGAGAAGCGGACAACGGTAGTTTATCTGTGATATTTCGCAGTGTTGCTTCCTAGTTTCACATTACTATTACAGCGGAAATGGAGGACTCCATCAGAGCAAACATTCGTAGATCGGGCTACAATTCTCGAAAACCAGCAATAGTTAAGAGCCTGAGAAAATGGGTGAATCGCTCAGTTACGATGGAAAATGTGCCGGAGGAGTTCCGCAAGCTTCCATGATGGCTCTCCGTTTCTGCAACTGGACGAACCGGGGTTCCACATTTATTTCTCCACCCGGAACCATCCAGGTACCTTCAGTAAACACCCAGTCGGATCGCCCGGCTGACGCCGAGCTCTCCTCCTTCTTTTTAGCTCGGCTTCGCCGAGCTGGCCTGGCTTCGCCAGGCGCACATCATAACGGGATGGAATTTGTTAATTGCCTGAGCTGCTCATATTGCACGCTAGTCATAATAGATAGAGTAACCTAGCAAAATCTACACCCCTCATATTTGCAGAAGGCGTGCTGGTTTCGGCCATAACGCCCATTCTATACGTAGATCTTAGAAATATATAGGAAGTACAGAATATCAATATGTGTTGCACAGTAGATGAACCTATTCCGTTTTATTACCTGCATCACAACACCAACGATGGGCGATTAACTTGTCATTAACATGCAATCCGCCTGCTAAGGTTGCATATTTGCATTCCCCCCCTAGTGGGATGAGTTCACTTTCTAGTGCTATCAGAGAAGTGATAGCTGGAGGAAAAGTTCGCCTACTGAGAGGGTTTTTGGCAGTATAGTGGTCAGAGATGTCGTGAGAATGTCCCCTTATCTTTACTTATCAATTGATAAAATTGCTTGTCACCCGTCATCAATGTCGCTATCACTAAAACTCCATAATTTCGTGGTGTAAAGGCTCCAGCATTTGATTGAACAACAACTGCAAAAATCTCTATCAGGCCCTATCAACCGTTATCACTTCCTGTCATCCGCCGTCGCTGTCTCCACCTTCCCCTTGATATCATTTGCTGAAATCAACGCCTAACTGATGCTGTGTCCCGCGTTATGAGTATGTTGTCCTTTCCACTCTAACTCCCCTTATCAGCAGCTAGCTGTTCTTGTCACCCACATAGTTTTGTGCCATAACCTATAACATGCCTCGGAACAAACCCCCAGTGTTCCAGTCGGACCGCCCGGCTCTGCTTCCTTCCCTTGCGCATGCATTCATTCTCCTTCTCAGATGCGGGCTGAGCACGCGCATGGGGAGGAAGCAAGAGGGGGGGGCACTGGGCGTCCCCCCCTCGGCTCCACCCCACCCTGCCCCCGCACGAGCACACGTCCAGCTGCCACGCCAGCAGCTCGTGCAATGGCTCGGAGTGTACCGAATGGTTGTCTTATATAGTGGAGGCTGTTATCACAATCAAAACATTGGATTGATACATCTGCACCAATCGGTTTCCGGTTTGCTTAGCGGTCGTTCTTCCTTCCACTAATTCTAACCCGTGAAGCATTTTGCGGACGGATGGTTTATAAAATGAAAAGGATTTGAAATTTTTCTGGCGGTTGTTTTCTCATCTCATGCTGTTTGCGTGCTTCCACTCGAGCGTGCGCTACCCCCCCCCCCCCCCTTCACCGTATCCCCTCCCCTCTGCTTCCTCCACTTGCACATGCTCATGTCCCGCTGAGCACGTGCAGGTGGAGGAAGCAGAGGGGAGGGGTCACTCGGTGCCCCCCCCCCTTCGCCCCCCCCTGCCCCCGCACGAGCACACGTCCAGCTGCCACGCCAGCAGCTCGTGCAATGGCTCGGAGTGTACCGAATGGTTGTCTTATATAGTGGAGGATGCTATCAAAATCAAAACATTGCATTGATACATCTGCACCAACCGATTTCCGGTTTGCCTAGCGGTCGTTTTTCCCTCCAGTAAATCGAACCCGTGAAACATTTTGCGGACGGACAGACATACATACTTACATACATACATACATACATACATACATACAAACCGACACACAAAGTTACTGGTTTATAGAATGAAGGGATAAGCATTCCAATTAAAGCTTATAACACTTTTTCAGATGGCGCGCGAGAATGGGCTTTATGGCACTGTGGCCGACGGGTCTCACAGCTTGCAGCCGAAGACCTTGGGGCGCTATGCGCAGCTGTACTGCGTGCATGGTGTCTGCAACCAAGACCTTGACGTACCACTGATGTTCTGCATAATGGAAAAGAAAACTCGTCGCGGGTACAAGAGAGTATTCGAGCACCTGAAGAGGAGTCTGCTAGGTGAAACACCCAGGCGCATAGTGCTTGATTTCGAAAAAGCTGCCATCCATGCGGCCAATAAGGTATTCCCAAATGCGACTGTTGAAGGATGTGCCTTCCACCTGGCGCAAGCGTGGAACCGCAAAAGAAACCATTTGGGGCTCCAGAGGTACCTGAAAGGCGCAGAAAAGGATGAACGCGTGGTCAACTGGTGGGAAACGCTAAAAGGTAGCGTGAATTTTTTTGTTCATTGTGTGCAAATTAATAGTACATACATATCTGCAGGAATGGTATTCCTCCCGCAAGATCTGTGGCCTGAAGTACGAGCACTACGCGGTCCACCAGTGCCGAGTGGCGACTTGCATGACAGATGCCAAGATTTCCTTAATTATTTGGAAACCACCTGGCTGAGTGGGCCGTTCAAAGATCTGTGGTGCAAGTGGAGAGTTGAGGAGTTGAGGACGACTAATCTTGCCGAAGCCTTTCACAGGTTTACAGCTTCCAAATTACCAGAGATGCAGAATAATCGACATTTTTCAGGAGAATACAGGTCTTGGCATCGGTTGATCCACCCACCGCTAAGCGTTCTGATCGATATTTTGAGAAAGCTCAACTATGAAGCCATGGCCGCCCTCACACGTCTTAAGGAAGTAAGTGTTGCAGATGGTAGATATGATGTCCATTTCCCCTTGATTCATAATTTAACTCACAGTTTAGGAACCGGAGAACGCTAGGACATTACGAAGAAGAGTACATGGAGAGGAAAGATAAAATATCTGAGGAAATGGCGCAGTAGGATCTTTTTTCAAATTTTTTTCTTCGTTTACCCATTAACGAGACAAGTATTATTTTCAGATTCAACGAGCTTTATCAGCAGGGAGTATCCAGTGCCCAAATAGAGTCCTACTGCAAAAAGATGTCCCAATTTGTTACAAACAAAACTATATGACACATTTTTATTCGATTTGCTTACTTGTTTTTGTTTGAATAGTTGTAAATAATAATAATAACAAATAATAATAAATATTAGGTTGTCCGGAAAGTTCTCAGCGTTTTGTGCACCTAATCTTTGTACATTCACTGCTGATTAAAAACTCATTCTGCCTTGCTTCTCAGTAGCACATCCTGTAGAGAATTTCTTGCGCTATCTGATGGTATAATTGCCGTTTCACCATTGCTTGATAAACCCTCTTTTTTCAAGATTTTTTCAAGCATGTGAAAAGAGCACTTCGGACGATTTTTTTCTTCGGCTATAAATTGGGGCAATCCGCAATCGAAACAGCTCAACAAATTAACCAGGTGTGGGGCCCAATAGTGCTAGAGAAAGCACTGTGCGGCAATGGCTCAACAAATTTCGTTCTGGAGATTTCAGCCTTGAAGGTGAACCTCATAGCGGTCGACCTAAAGCAATATCTGACGAGGATTTTAGGGGGATTTTGGAAGGTTGACCCATCCCAAACAGTTCGAGAGATAGCAGAAGAGCTAGGCCTTGGCAAATCCACTGTTGCAGATGGTCTGGAACGCATTGGGAAGGTGAAAAAACTCGACAATTGGGTGCCCCACAATCGGAGTGACCGGCAGGAATCGGCACGTCTCGAGGTTCCTTCTTCACTGCTTTTGCGCAAAAGAATTGACCCGTTTTTGAACGGATTTGTCACCTGTGATGAAAAATGGATCATGTATGATAACAGGAGACGTTCCGGACAGTGGTTGGATTTGGAGGAACCACCGAGGTAATTTTCAAAGCCGAACCCTCGCGAAAAAAAATTCTGGTCAGGTTTGGTGGTCATCGGCTGTTGTAATCCACTATAACTTTTCATCACCAGGCCAAACCATCACAGCAGAACCCTACTGTGAACAAACCGACCAAATGTACCGAAAATATTGTCAGCTGCAGCCAACACTTATCAAAAGAAAGGGTCCGATTCTTTTGCATGACAACGCCCGCCCACACGTTTCACAAATCACTATCCATAAATTGAACGAATTGGGAGTTGAAGTTCTACCTCACCCACCATATTCTCTAGACCTTTCACCAACCGACTGTCACCTTTTCAGACATTTTCAGAACTTTCCTGCTGAGAAATACTTCATCAAACAGGACCAGGCAAAAAAGACCTTCGCAGATTTCGTGGATTCTCGACCACCCAGTTTGGGGCTTTCTTTGATGGGATTTCTCGACTGCTGCCACATTGGCAAAAGTGTGCTGATTCGAATGGTGCTTATTTGGATTAAATCCGATGAGTGTTAAGAAAGTTATGATCGTTTAAAGTTAAACACCCAAAACGCTAAGAACTTTCCGGACAACCTAATAGCTGCAACAGGTGAAACACTGCCTCATGGATGCAGCAGCTCTCTTTATCAGGAGAAAAATTTGCACCTGATTTCCTGCAAGACATTCCAAGGTG